TCAGACATAGAAAATTGTTAAGTGTTTTTTCTTTAAGTAAAGAAAAATGTTTGTCCCTCCAAAAAATAGCTCCCCCCCCCCCCCCCCCCCCCCATAATTGGTCATTGCGTTAATGGGGGCTAAATTTTGGAGACAGTGGCCCGACTGCCATAAACAACAGAAGACGAACAGCAAACAGTGAATACAACATTTAATATGTATGACAGACGACGACGGACACACACTGGTTGTACTGAACAATTTCAACTACCACAAGATACCCTATGAATTTATTGACATACTTGAACTCGTTTAAGGAATATATTTCTGAACAATAACGAATTCAGCATGTTTACTGTACAGACACCAGACACCAAGTGATGGATAAAATTGTTGCTTTTATTGCTTATTTCATTTTTTAGTGCAATATTTAATTGATTGATTGTTAGTTGCTTAACGTCCAGTGGCAAATATTTCATGCATATTTGATTGATTGATTGTCGGTTGATTAACGTCCAGTGGCAAATATTTCATGCACATTCAGAACTAGAAGTCGTTTAAGAAATAGATTATGAAGTATTTAGTATTACAAAATTTAATGTTATAATTTTCTCATCATTTGGTAAAAGTATATTTTCTAAGCTGTTAAAATTTGTAAGAATCATAATTTTTTCTGACAAAATTATATCTTTTGCTCTAAATTAACACATAGATTCGGAAAATAATAAGAACATTGCAACTTAAGTCTCGGGAGTTATTTGTATATTAAGGCTTTTGAGCATAGAATATCAAATTCAATTATTGCTGACATTATGGTTTCATGTGTTACAAATAAATAACCAATTAAAAAACAATAAGATCTTTCCTAATGTAGTGGAAAGACCTTAATACTATACAATCATGACAAAAATTACTTTTTCATAAAACAAATGTCGAACAGTTACAAAAATAAATAAGTACAGTATGAAGCCTCTGTAAACAAGTTTCAAACTTGTTGAAAACTAGTGGTTTTGATAACCCACAAGGACGCCACATGATTTTTTCAGTTTAATATAATCACAATTCGTAATAACTATGGAGCAAGTAATATAAAGTGGAAAAGCAAGCATTATGTTTTTTTTTTATATAGTTATGCAAAATTTACTCATATTTTTTAGTGAAACCATTTTGAATATATACGCATCGTTGTTGGAATTCCCCGGGCGCTTTTTAGTAGGACCAAGGACGTATAACTAACATATACGTCCTTGGTAGGACCCTGAAAATCAAGTACAATCCCTCCTGTTAGGGGTTTAGTATCATACCATCATAAAATATATGAGAAGAACATAACCCGTATCATGCCAACAATTGGTTTTAGAATCAATGTGTTTATCAGGAATCTGATGTACAGTAGTTGTCGTCTGTTTATGTAGTTCATACGTGTTTCTCGTTTCTCGTTTTTATATAGATTAGACCGTTGGTTTTCCCGTTTGGTTTTACACTAGTAATTTTTGGGGCCCTTTATAGCTTGCTGTTCGGTGTGAGCCAATGCTCCGTGTTGAAGGCCGTACCTTGACCTATAATGGTTTACTTTTATAAATTGTTACTTGGATGGAGAGTTGTCTCATTGGCACTCATACCACATCTTCCTATATCTATTATGTAGCACAAAAGTGAATAAAAAAACCACAAAGGACCTAAACGTGTTTTTATCCCATATGTATGCAGTGTGTGTCTTTCGAAATATTAACTTGAATCCATTTAAACAATTTCTACAAGTTCATAAGTTCAGGCAAGGACGTATATATGTTAGTTATACTTCCTTGGTTGAGGCTATCCCTTTTGTCTCGTTGATCAGAAATAAAAATAGTCATAAACTAAACTTAACCGAGTGACTGAAAAAATAAAATCATGTGAAATACCCCTAATTTCAGAAACCCCTTTCCTGTTACTGGCATTTGCCGTCCAGATTCAAACTAGATTTAAGTGATAAGATCTAATAATTGAGCAGATACACCTGCTTGCAGAAAAAAAACAGTAAATGATATACCAAAATTAAATGTGACCAGTATTTTGTGTTTCATAAATTGTGTTAAAATCAAAAAAGCTTTTGTCAAACATTACTTCATTATCATCTGGAAATAAGAAAGTTAAATGTTTAAGGTAACTAAGGGGCATAACTCTTGAACGGTTATTCTCAAAACCATCAAAATGGACCTTGAACAGTGTTTCGATGATCCATGATATACTGCACAATTTCAAAGGATTGGGTCAAGTGGTACTATAATTATCATCCAGAAATCAAAGAACTAACATTTTCAAAGGCAAGCCGCAAATCTTGAACAGTAATTGTGAAAAAAATCAAAATCTAACTTGACCTGTACTTTTATGGTCCATGACATTCTCAAATTAAAGAACCTTAGTTAGCGCGCTCACATACCCCACGTCCCCACATTGTCATTGGAGAAATAAAATAAGTGTAAGAAAAAAAAATTGAATCATAATTTCCTGTCAATATGCACAACTACATAGTATGTCCTTATTATCTACAAAGTTTCATGAAATTCTGTTATGTGGTTTCAGAGGAGTTGCGATGACAAACTGTTGCAGTAGTACATTAAAGCAAATAAGTTCAAAGGGGCGCAACTCCTAGAAAAAAAATGATTCGTAATATTCTGTCGATATGCACATTTACATAGTATGTCCTTATTATCTACAAAGTTTCATGAAATTCTGTGGTGTGGTTTCAGAGGAGTTGCGATGACAAACTGTTGCAGTAGTACATTGAAGCAAATAAGTTCAAAGGGGCGTAACTCCTAGAAAAAAATTGAATCGTAATTTCCTGTTGTTATGCACATCTACATAGTATGTCCTTTTTATCTACAAAGTTTCATGAAATTCTGTGGTGTGGTTTCAGAGGAGTTGCCATGACAAAAGGTTGCAGTAGTATATTGGATAAATAAGTTCAAAGGGGCATAACTCCTGGGGAAGAAATTGATTCGTAAATTCCTGTCGATAGGCACATCTACATAGTATGTCCTTAATTATTATCTGAAAAGGTTTCATGAAATTCTGTTGTGTGGTTTGAGAGGAGTTGCGATGACAAGAAACAGGACTGAGGGACTGACTGACTGACAGACGGACCGACAGACAGACGGACGGACGGGTCAAAAACATTATACCCTTCACAAAAAATTTGTGTGGGGGTATAATAAATTTTAATAACGAGTCTATTCATATAATGTTACTATAACTTCTATCCCTTAAATATTTAGGCTTAAACAAAACTAACAATATATTCATGTTGCTGATAACCCAGACAGCTCGTCTGGACACCAGATTTTAATGATTTTTAAAACAATATCCATGTATACAAATTGTAAGCATATATACATAAAAGATAATCATAAAATTCATAATTGATGAAATGCTTCTATGCTGTATTTTAAGTTAAATACCAAATAGTGACAAAATCTCTATCATCAACAATCTTCCTGCCAGGAACAACCATGACAACCGACTAAAACAAGTGAACTTGGTCAAACTTCTTTAAAAACTAAATTTGTAGTGGGAAAATGTTGGAAACCTGAGTCCAAAACCTAATGCTCTGAAGACCGTCTCAGGAAGTATACTTTAGACAGTATAAAAAAATGTATAATTATTCAGAACAAAACAATTGATAAAAATATAAATTATATCAAACTCAGCTAAAAAATAAAAGAAGAATGTGTCTGAGGACAAGATGCCCTTGCTCAAGCTTTGCAATTTTAAAAATTTTAAAAAGGAGCATAACTCTAGAAAAGTAAGTGACTCACTGCCCAAATTTGCAATTTTCCAACTGATAAAGGGGCATTACTCTTAAAAGTTAGTGCGGAAACAAAAATGGGACAAAAGGAACAACAAAAGGACAGAAGGAAATCAAGGGTAACACTTAATGCCTCCTTTCCCTATGGCAGGGGCATAAAAAAACGAAAACATTCGGAAAAGATATATATTTAACAACGGTGAAAGCCAAAATATACATTTCATTTTTTCTTTTATTTTAAGATTCTCCATTCTTAACTTCTGGAAGTGTTTTGACTAGACATGGACCATTATTAATATATCTAAAAGAGTAGGTCTTCAAATAAAAGTGGTCAATTTCAAATAATTTTCAAAGTACCAATTGAATCTAGCCACAGGGGAAAAAATAATGAATACAATCTGAACTATGAACTCAAAATAAAACTATACATACCAATAAACTGTTAACACAGAGATATGTCTCGCCTATTTGTTATTTTGATAATGCAAATGTTGAAATTGAAATAACAATACTTTTACATGTAAGTTATGCAAGTATTCAAAGTCAATGAACCATGACTAAAGGTACAGGGCTAAACAATCTCCATGGAAATGAGATAATGAGTAAAGTACTAAACTATGAGAACATATGTTCATTTAAACATACTTAACATATACACACTGTGTAAATTGTAAATAAACTTGAAATTGTTATGCTGTGGCCAAACCGGTTCTTGGGGTGAACACTAAATTTTCAAAAAAAATCTGGAGGCCTGCGAGACGACTTAATTTGTTTAAAATTGGTATGGACGAATACTGTTATATCTAATGCAGGGCAAGCTCATGTTGATTTTTCAGAAAATGTATTGATTTTCGAGTTTCAGTTAATTTCATGTATCTAGGTGAACAAATTTCGAAGTTACAGAAATTGGACAAATATGCCATTAAAACATATGTATGTGACAAATCAACATGAGCTTGCCCTGCATTACATGTAACAGTATTCGTCCATACCAATTTTAAGCAAATTAAGTCGTCTCACAGGTCTCCCGATTTTTTTGAAAATTTAGTGTTCACCCCAAGAACCAGTTTGGCCACAGCATAACAATTTCAAGTTTATTTACAATTTACACAGTGTGTGTATGTTTTAAGTATGTTCAAATGAACATATGCTCCCATAGTTTAGGACTTTACTCATTATAAGTTGAAAAATACAGGCAAAGTTTAGATGTTTATGAAGTGTCCTATACTTTGACTTTAGTGGAACCTTAAAGAAATCTAAACATAAACACTAACTTGTAAACTAAGCAAAAGTTTCAAAGTCAATAGACCATGACTGAAGGGGCGGGGCCAAATAATCTTCATGAAAATGAGATATGCCAATGCTTATACAACTGCATACCAAATATCATTGACCTACCACTAGTGGTTCACCATAAACTAAGACCTAATCACAAACTAATACATTGTTGATGCCGCCGCCGACGCCGGAAACAGCATACCTATGTCTCGCTTTTCGACTCCGTCAAGGTGAGACAACAACCAGTTCAGTATCAATATGCATGACAAAAAACTGTCAAGAATGGACATGAGTAGAGCTACCTGAATATATCCTTTGGTTTTAATTGTAAAAAGAGAGATTTTAAAATTCAAAATAAGTTATATATAACTTACAATCTTGTTGAAAATGGAGAATCTTTACACAATTTTTTTTTTTTGTAAAAAATTATAAACATTTTCTCAAACATACACAAAAATTGTCTGAATTACATTCTTTACTGGTACAGCCACCCAATCATTTTCATGCAGCCACAGTTAAAGTTACCTGAAAAAGAAATATTCATTCTTAAACATATCTGTCAAAACTATGTGAAAATAATTGAAACAATATTTAATGCAAAAGAATAATTAACTGGACATTACAATTATGATGCATATAACATTTCTTTACCTAGCTTTAAATTGACTAGTGGACATAACTTTTAGACTACCAGTATTTGTTGGCAAAAAAAGATGAAAAACAAGTGGTTGTTTGTTGTCTATCATATTTTTTGTTTGTTTATTGTTTTATCCTATATCAAGTCATTGGTTTTCTCATATGAATTATTTCACATTTTGCCATGTTGGGGCCTTATATAGCTTACAATACAGAATAGGTTTTGCTCATTGTTGAAGACCATAGAATGGCATTCTATAGTTGCTAACATCCTTGTCATGTGGTTTCTGGTTGATTAATGTCTCATTGGAAATCATACTACATTTCTTAATTTCTATATAGTGGGATTAATCTAGATAAAAAAAAACAGAGAGAAGATATCCAAATTCAAATCTTTGACTTCCCTTATTTGTATCTTGATACCCCCTTCCAAATTATACATACACTTATAACATGAAAAATTCTAGTGACATGCTCTAAGTTGAATAGTTCATAAATCTATGTACAGTAACTGATTCTTACCATAAAAGTCAGCTCCAATTGCCATTCCCAGTTACCTCAAACCTTACGGACAAACTGCGATGTTAACCTGAAATATAAAATGCCTCATCATCAAAAATTGTTTAAACTGATCATTGTTGGTATACTTATATATATTTAATATAAATACTGGTAGTCTATAAATGTGTAATAGATGTTGAGAACATGTGGATTAGACAGCTATCCAGCAACCAAGCAAACTTTTTATGTAATTGCATCAGATCCTAAAATTAACTTATATACTGGTACTGATAAATGAGAGAGTAGACCTGACCAACTAAAAGCCTAGAGAGAATTTTCCAAAGAAATTTTATAATACATGTTTTTTTTTTTCTCTTCAAAACTGGAAAAATATTCTGGTACTTACCTTCCTTTATGATGTATTAGACCCCAAAGTCTTATTCCCAACACCATGAAAACATGTCACAGAAAGAACCTAAAAAGGAATTAAAATGGATACATTATTATATATTTTATAATTCCATTTCTGTCAACATTACTACATGTTCACAATAGTATAACATCAACACCTAAGTTTGTAAAATTAATATAAAGATGGAAAAAAAAAAGGAAGTCAAAGAATAATGATTTGAATTTCAACTGCATTAAAATCTGCATATTTTACAGAGTTATCTCCCATTGAATTAACAAATCTTGTTGTTTATTGAATTTGTCTCCCCTTGGAAGATCTATTCCAATCTCAGGATTTACTATTGCTATTTTAATAGAAAATCTTGTTAATATACTTGGTACATGTATCTTTAAATATTAAACTGGTAAAATAATTCCCGGTCGGGTATAGCTAGATGTTTTCACAACTTTTAGTTTTCAGTTTTCTGACTTGGAAAATATGTTCTCACCCTGACATGGCTACTGTGAGAAAAAACATTTATAATATGTCTAATACAGTTATTTTTTAATTATTTTTGTTTTAATTATCCTGATAAGAATTCAACTGGCCAATGTACATGTAATGGTGTATAATATCATACCATTAGTCTTTGCAGGTATTTAAGTTGATTTCTTCTGTGTGTTTTATCCCATTGAAATCAATAGTCAATACCATATTTTATTTCTTAAGACAAACAATTACACACATAGGACATATAAAGACCATCAGAAATAATAAATACAGTATTGTAACCTATATATCTCTGTAAGAACTCTGTAATGGAAACATAATAATAAAGATTAGTGATGTTTGAAAAATTGTTGTCACTTCTATCAAAGCAGGCTCTCTTAAAAGCTTACAGTAGATTTAGCTTCATCTGTGATAAAAATAAAATATATAGAGTATAGAGTATAGAGTATAGAGTTACGGAAATCTATATGCCACTCTTCCTGGTCTGTTAGCCATATTCAAGGTCGACGACTGAAACATCCTCTCTAAGCTGAATCTGCAAAATTCCAAAATTACAAATTAAACATCTGTGAGTGAACTCTGAAATGAAATATAAATATACTAGTCAACAAAAGTAACGATACACAAGTTTGAACTCCAATTTATCATAAAATATAATAAAATAGGAAAAAATGTTAAATTATCCAAAGCAAATGCATATGATTAAAAGAATCTGACCAAATTGGAAAGTGAGAAACTACCGAGTTATATAACACAGGGGTCAAATTTTTTTTGCGGAAAATGATGACAAAAGTCAGCACTTAATTTCGAAAGATGAGAATTAAGTATTCAGATATCTGCAAAGGCATTCAAAATTTTAAGCAGACCATGCATAAGTTTTAAGTTCTAATATCGATTTTTGAATTTTTGGATGAAAATATGATTTTTGAAATAACAAAAATTGCAACAACATCAAATTCACATATTTCCCTTAAATCAATGATTTTGGTAAGAATATAACACTTTGTAAATATTAGACCAATTGGGCAATTATTTACCTTGGTGCAGTGTATCCAATTTCATTATATATGGAAAATACGTTGCCTTGTATCATTTCTTTTGTTGACTAGTATATATATACAACCATACACATGAAAATATATAAAATGAAATATATCTACTAACCTAACTTTGAGCTGCTGAATTGTAGCTCTTACGTCCTTATATTTATTGAACATAGATGGTCCTCAAATAGTCAAAAAATATCACAAGGACCTAAGAGCTACAGTTCCACAGCTACCTTACCATCAATTCTATGAAGTAACCTGTATAAAAAATAAATATATATACACAACCATATACATGAAAATATATGAGATGCAATAAATCAACCAACCATACTATTAGCTGCGGAATCGTAGCTCTTAGGTCCTTGTGATATTTATTGAACATAGATGGTCCTCAAATCGTCAAAAAATATCATAAAGACCTAAGAGCTATGGTTTCACAGCTACCTTACCATCAATTCTTTGAAGTTACCTATATAAAATATAAATATATATACAACAATATACTTAAAAATATATAAAATGAAATAAATCAACCAATCTTACTATTAGGTGTGGAACCGTAGCTCTTAATTAGGTCCTTATGATATATCATAAAGACCTAAGAGCTATGGTTCCGTAGCTACCTTACCATCAATTCTTTGAAGAAACCAATATAAAAAATTAATATATATACAACCATATACATGAAAATATATAAAATGAAATAAATCAACCGATCTTACTATTAGGTGCGGAACCGTAGCTCTTAATTAAGTCCTTATGATATATTATAAAGACCTAAGAGCTACGGTTCTGCAGCTTCCTTACCATCAATTCTTTCAAGAAATCTATATAAAAAATAAATATATATATACAACAATACACATGAAAATATATAAAATGAAATAGATCAACCAACCATACTATTTATAGCTGCGGAACCATAGCTCTTAGGTCCTTATGATATTTATTGAACATAGATTGTCCTCAAATAGTCAAAAAATATCATAAAGACCTAAGAGCTACGGTTCTGCAGCTACTTTACCATCAATTCTTTGAAGAAACCTATATAGAAAATAAATATATATACAACAATACACATGAAAACACATAAAATGAAAAAGATCAACCAACCATATTACTTATAGCTGGGGAACCATAGCTCTTTGGTCCTTATGATATTTATTGAACATAGATAGTCCTCATATAGTCAAAAAATATCATAAAGACCTAAGAGCTATGGTTCCACAGCTGCCTTACCATCAATTCTTTGAAGAAACCTAGCTAAAAAATAAATATATATACAACCATATACATGAAAATATATAAAATGAAATAAATCAACCAATCTTACTATTAGGTGCGGAACCATAGCTCTAAATTTAAGGTCCTTATGATATATTATAAAGACCTAAGAGCTACGGTTACGCAGCAAACTTATTTTCAATTCTTTGAAGAAACCTATATAAAAAATAAATATATATACAACCATATACATGAAAATATATAAAATGATATAAATCACACAATCTTACTATTAGGTGCAGAACCGTAGCTCTTAATTAAGTCCTTATGATATATTATAAAGACCTAAGAGCTACGGTTCCGCAGCTTCCTTACCATCAATTCTTTCAAGAAATCTATATAAAAAAAAAATATATATATACAACAATACACATGAAAATATATAAAATGAAATAGATCAACCAACCATACTATTTATAGCTGCGGAACCATAGCTCTTAGGTCCTTATGATATTTATTGAACATAGATTGTCCTCAGTCAAAAAATATCATAAAGACCTAAGGCCGTAGCTCTTAATTAGGTCATTATGATATATTATAAAGACCAGCTAAGAGCTATGGTTCCCCAGCAACCTTACCATCAATTCTTTGAAGAAATCTATATAAAAAATAAATATATATACAACAATATACATGACAATATATAAAATGAAATAAATCAAACAATCTTACTATTAGGTGTCGAACCGTAGCTCTTAATTAGGTCATTATGATATATTATATAGACCTAAGAGCTACGGTTCGGCAGCTACCTTACCATCAATTCTTTGAAGAAACCTATATAAAAAATAAATATATATACAACCATAAACATGAAAATATATAAAATGAAATAAATCAACCGATCTTACTATTAGGTGCAGAATCGTAGCTCTTAATTAGGTCCTTATGATATATTATAAAGACCTAAGAGCTATGGTTCCGCAGCTACCTTACCATCAATTCTTTGAAGAAACCTATATAAAAAATAAATATATATACAATAATATACATGAAAATATATAAAATGATATAAATCAACCAATCTTACTATTAGGTGCCGAACGGTAGCTCTTAATTAGGTCATTATGATACATTATAAAGACCTAAGAGCTATGGTTCCGCTGCTACCTTACTGTCAATTCTTTGAAGAAACCTATATAAAAAATAAATATATATACAACCATATACATGAAAATATATAATATGAAATTAATCAATCAATCTTACTATTAGGTGCGGAACCGTAGTTCTTAATTAGGTCCTTATGATATATAATAAAGACCAAGAGCTATGGTTCCACAGCTACCTTACCATCAATTCTTTGAAGAAACCTATATAAAAAATAAATATATATACAACAATATACATGTAAATATATATAATGAAATAAATCAACCAATCTTACTATTAGGTGCCGAACCGAAGCTCTTAATTAGGTCCTTATGATATATTATAAAGACCTAAGAGCTAAGGTTACGCAGCTACCTTACCATCAGTTCTTTGAAGAAACCTATATAAAATAAAAATAAATATACAACCATATACATGAAAATATATAAAATGAAATAAATCAACCATTCTTACTATTAGGTGCGGAACCATAGCTCTTAATTAGGTCCTTATGATATATTATAAAAACCTAAGAGCTATGGTTCAGCAGCTACCTTACCATCAATTCTTTGAAGAAACCTATATAAAAAATAAAATATACATACAACAATATACATGAAAATATATATAATGCAATATATCAACCAATCTTACTATTAGGTGTGGAACCGTAGGTCTTAATTAGGTCCTTATGATATATCATAAAGACCTAAGAGCTACGTTTCCGCAGCTATCTTACCATCAATTCTTTGAAGAAACCTATATAAAAAAAATAAATAAATATACAACCATATACATGAGAATATATAAAATGAAATAAATCAACCGATCTTACTATTAGGTGCGGAACCATAGCACTTAATTAGGTCCTTATGATATATTATAAAGACCTTAGAGCTATGGTTCAGCAGCTACCTTACCATCAATTCTTTGAAGAAACCTATATAAAAAATAAATATATATACAAGCATATACATGAAAATATATCAAATTAAATATATCAACCAATCTTACTATTAGGTGCCGAACTGTAGCTCTTAATTAGGTCCTTATGATATATCATAAAGACCTAAGAGCTAAGATTCCCCAGCTACCTTACCAATAATTCTTTGAGGAAACCTATATAAAAAATAAATATATATACAAGCATATACATGAAAATATATAAAATGAAATATATCAATCAATCTTACTTATAGGTGCAGAACCGTAGCTCTTAATTAGGTCCTTATGATATATTATAAAGACCAAGAGCTATGGTTCCGCAGCTACCTTACCATCAATTCTTTGAAGAAACCTATATAAAAAATAAATATATATACAACTATATACATGAAAATATACAAAATGAAATAAATCAACCAATCTTACTATTAGGTGTGGACCGGTAGCTCTTAATTAGGTCCTTATGATATATCATAAAGACATAAGAGCTACATTTCCGCAGCTATCTTACCATCAATTCTTTGAAGAAAACTATATAGAAAATAAATATATATACAACAATATACATGAAAATATATC